AGGAACAATAATAATCCTAAAAAAAAATCAACACACATACATGTTTTATAATATTAGCTTTTTTATATATAAAAGAGTGATATTTTATATTTTAAAATTATTGATGTTATATGTATCTAAATATACTAAACTTTTATGGGTATTTCTATGATCAAATATAAATATTTTTTTCTAAACACTTTGATGTAACATCATTGAAAACATAGAAGTATAATAATATATAAAAATCTTATGGTCATTTCTTTTTTACGATTTATTATTTTATGTTTTACTCTAAAAAATCTTTGAATGTGAGATAATCTAATATAGAATAATGTAAATAAAATAAAAAACACAAAAAAAAACTCTATACATTGTATTATTTAATAAGGTTGTTAGATTATCTTATTTTTTAACATTAAGTGACATATTTTCATGACGTCTTTTAAAATCGTCATATAAAAATAAGAGATAAAAACAAGTGACAAATAATTGATTTCGTCGTGTTAAAACAATTTTTTGTGACAATAATAAAATGTCACTTTTAGTGTCTTATAAAACATGACAAATTAAATTGTCACAAATAAAACTTATTAATGAAAAATGTGCAACGCCACTAATTCAAATTGAATCGTCATTATAATAAATCGTCACTAATACGTATTTTTCATTGGAGATAATTTTAAAACGTCATTATTTTATCTAAATTTCATTAAAAGGTTTCCCACTAAAAATTTTGGTGGGAAGATTTTGGCGCCAAACATATAGTAACAAAAATCAATGACCATTTTAAAAATTATCATAAAAGATATATCATTAATCAATAAATATGACGAAAATAAAAAAACGTCACATTATAGTATGTTTTGTGACGATATACGTAACGTCATATAGAAATTTTGTCATAAATTGATAAATTTGTTGTAGTGAAGAGAGAATCAAAGAGAAATCATCAAACCTCAAGTTTGTGCATCTCAAGCCTATTTTTTATTCAATATTCATTTTTCTTTCAAGAACACTACTTGTACTCAATTGTATTCATTATTGAGTGTTCTTTTCTTTGTTCTAGAATTGTGCAAACAATTTACCTTGTGAGGATTTCCTTGTAAGTTTGCAAATTTGTATTGTTCTCTTTTGGAGAGAGTGTTCTAAAGAATTTGGGGTATAATTCTTGAGGGTTTGTAAGGTTACTCTTTATCCTCAAAAGAAAGACAAATTAGTGAATTTGTGGAAAATCCTTAGTGTGGATAGCTAAGGTAGTGGACGTAGACTTTGGTTGAGAAAGTCGAACCACTCTAAATCGCTGTGCAATTACTTTCAATTTTCTGCAAAAGCTTCCACCAAAATTTTAATTGCCAATTCACCCCCCCTCTTGGCCATATTCGTCGATCAATTAACTCAACAACAAGGAGATTCTTCTGAAGCAAAACCAGCACATGATGAAAAAGAACCAGAGAGTTCTGAAGCTCCAACAACTCGTCGATCAGATCGTGTGAGAAGACGTCCGAATTGACACTCAGATTATGTTATAGAATGAAATATTGCATACTAGCTTTTAACAGAGGACGGTGAGTCATCAACATTCTAGGAGGCAATAAACAACTCAGATACTTCACTATGGATGATGACGATGCAAGAAAAAATTGAAGCCCTTTATAAAAATAATACATGGGACCTTGTGCCACTACCACAAGGAAGGAAGCCAATTGGTAACAAATGGGTCTTCAAAATCAAGCGAAATGGTAACAATCAAGTTGAGAGGTATCGTGCAAGACTGATGGTCAAAGGATATGCTAAAAAAGAAGGTATTGATTTCAATGAAATATTTTCTCCTATGGTTCAACTAACAACAGTTCAAGTAGTCTTGGTAATGTGTGCTACATTGAATTTACATCTAGATCAACTAGATGTTAAAACAGTTTTTCTTCATGGAAATATTGAAGAAGATATTTATATGCTTCAACCTGAAGGTATAGAAGAAAAAGAAAAGAAGAACTTGATTTGCAGGTTGAACAAATCTCTATACGGTCTAAAGCAAACGCCAAGATGTTGGTATAAGATTTGATTCCTTCATTATGTGCCTTGGATACAACAAACTTAATGCAGAACCTTGTGCTTATTTCAAGAGGTTTGATGATAACGATTTTGTTATATTACTGTTGTATGTGGATGACATATTGGTTGTGGGACCTAACAATGATCATATTAAAGAATTGAAGGAACAACTAGCTAGGGAATTTGAAATGAAGGACTTGGGATCAGCAAACAAGATTCTAGAAATACAAATTCACCGAGACAGAAATAATAGGAAGATTTGGCTTTTACAAAAGAATTACTTGAAGAATATATTATCACGATTCAACATGCAAGATTGTAAGTCAATTTCTTCCCCTCTTCCTATTAACTTCAAATTATCCTCCAGTATGAGTCCTAGCAGTGAAGAAGAGAGGATGAAGATGTCTCGAGTACCGTATGCATCGGCAGTGGAAAGTTTAATGTTCGCTATGATATGCACAAGACCAGACATTGCACAAGCAGTGAGAGTGGTTAGTCGGTACATGGCGAATCCAGACAAAGAGCATTGAAATACAATAAAGAGGATCCTGAGATACATCAAAGGGACCTCAAATGTTGCATTATTACGGAGGATCAAAATTACTTATCAATAGTTATGTTGATTCTGACTATGCAGGGGATTTGGATAAAAGCAAATCTACTACAGGATATGTGTTTAAAGTTGCTGGTGGAGCTGTAAGTTGGGTTTCAAAATTTCAATCAGTTGTAGCTACATCCACAACAGATGCAGAATATGTAGCAGCTATACAAGCCAGTGAAGAATCAATTTGGTTGAAGATGCTATTGGAGAAGCTTGGGCACAATCAAAAGTATGTCTATCTCTTTTGTGACAGTCCAAGTGCCTTGCATCTAGCAAGGAATTCAACATTTCATTGAAGGACAAATCACATACGAGTTCAGTACCATTTCATTCGTGAAAAGGTGGAAGAATGGACGGTAGATATGCAAAAGATCCATACCAAAGACAACATAGCAAATTTCATGACGAAGGCAATCAATGCTGATAAATTTACTTGGTGTCGATCCTCTTGTGACATGTCAGAGAATAAGCAACATGAATGGTACAAGGTAGAAAGAATGGTGTGAAGATGATTGTTCCAATCAAATCTTCAAGTGGGAGATTGTTGAAAGTTGATGTGAATGCACCGAATTCCACCGAAAGTTGGTATAAATGCACCGAATTCCACCAAAAGTTGCAGCTTGATTTTGTTGAAAATATGGTAATGGGAAAATTGCAAATTTAGTCCTTATACTTTAAGGTATTTACAAGATTAGTCTTTAAGCTTTAACTATAAATACCCTAACTCATTTAGCTTCAAAATCATCCCAAATCATTTTAGCTTTATCCCAATACTAGAGAATTTAGAGAGTTTTATTGAGAATTGTTTTCTCTTTTTTATCAAGAGAGAATTGTCATTGTTTTCTCCTTGTTAGATCGAGAGAAGTTGTAATTCCTATTTTCTCACAGTGAACTTCTTCTATATTTGCACGTGATTTTTACCCTATATTATTTATGGGTTTTTCACGTAAAATTTGTGTCTTCTTTATCTTCATTTTTATTTTCTCAAATTATCAATTGCAATTTTACTCTATCTGATAACCGTATTCCTCAACATCAGCTAGGTCCAAACTCCAAAGTTAGGCATGATCAAGATCTAATAATCACAGTCAGTTTTTACTCAAATTAGTGCACACAAAATACATCACCTACGTACTATATGTTTACTAATTATATCTAAATCTTATCATAAGAAAAGAAATCTAATTCTTCACAGTTAATAAAATTCGAAACGAGAACAAAGGATTGTTATATATTTACATTACAATAAATTTTTTAAAAATATATTAAATTTATGTAATAAATACTATAATAGGTGGCAATTAGGTCATATAATAATATGAAATATTATATCAGAAATAATTAAAACAAATAATTTAATATATAAATGTTAATTTTTTTAAAAGAATAAAATAAATAAAAGAATGATCCCCCCGGGACAAAAGTGGCAGAAATACGTGTCGATCCATGCTTATCCCAATGTATTTATGAATGGCTACTTCTCATTGTATTTATCTTCCATTTGCTTTTGCCTTTTCCCAAGTCTCTATCTTGTACCAGATTCCACGTGTATCCATGCTTAGCTGTCACACATCTCTTATACAAACAATTATTCTGGGGCTAATTCTTTATCAGAAGAACTAGGAACCTTTAATAGAATTCTCTTGTTTCCATTTCATGCCCTGTATATATTCCATCACTCATATGACTACACGTATAATATTGATTGACACTTTAATTTTTATTTACTTTCCACTTTATTTTTTTATGTTTTGTAAACAATAACTCATTTTTTAATTTCAATAATACTTTTGTCAATTTTAATGAAGTTATTTTATTTTATTTTTCTAAATTATATGTTTTATCTAAAGTTAAGGTACATTTGATTTTTTTAAAATTTTAAATAGTTTATAATAATTTAATTTAATTAACTTGATCCCTAAACTTTTAAATATTTCAATTTCACCCCAAATTTATTCAAATATGTAATTAGTTTCAACTATAATTTAACCTATTTTTCTTCAAACATATAATATTATAACTTGACCTAATGATTTTATTAACAAGGGTGTGATTAATATATATATGTATAATTTACGAATGAAATTAAAATATTTAAAAATTTAAAGATCAATTTAAAATGAAAGACGTATTTTGAGGATATGTGATACAATATATTTTATAGTAATCAAAGTTTGGATAAAAAATATAATATATTAATAAAAATTTCATGAGTCAAGTCCGATAAGGATATGGAGACCGGTGGATATGGACGTCAAAGTGTCCCTTTCAAATTACAATTCTCATCTTTCACGTTTAAATTACGTGGATTATATATAATCCTCCTATTTTCTTTCAATTCCACATATCAATCTTCTCACAATTATTTCTCTCAAGTTTTTCGTCTCTCTTCTCATTAATTATACAATCAAAAGAAGGAAAGAAAATCGAAAGAAAAAAAAAACAAAAGAAACCCTTTGTTCTTTAACTTGTTAACAATTTCAATGGCGAATTGGGTTAGAATATCATCAAGAAGCATTGGCAATCACATAAGGAAACGTATGAACCAAGGGTTCATCGGGAGCGCCGTCGACATTAACAAAAGTTCTGGTTCATCATCGGCTTTGCACGGCGGACGGACAGTTTGTGATCGAAACCGGAGATATCTGAATTCATTGCCTTGGAACAGGGCTACCCTTTTCTGGTTTCAGCGTTTCAAGTCCACTGTAGCTGAAAAGCAACAAGATTCGTTTCTCTCCAGCGATACCGACGATGATCAACTGGTACGGACTCTTTGTTTGCCTTCGTTGCAGGCATATTACGTTTAATGAAAGTTTTTGTTTTGATCCTCAACTTATTTTTAATTATAGAAGCAAACGAATAACGCCTTTAAATCATGCTAATTACTTGATTATTATATAATTCTGAAGAATTTTGGGGGAAAAAAAAAGAAAATGGGTTCAATTTGGTTTTTATTTGGTAATTAGTTTGGTTTTACACGTTAATGAAATTACTACTGAAAGGTTGGGGGTCTTTAGAGGAAAGGCAGTTGATATAGGTCCAAAGTCATGATCGACATCTAACAATCCCAACCACAATGTTTATACTCAAATTGGTACGTGTAATACATTTACGTAAGTAGATGTAGTAGGTACGTATATGTTTACTATTTATATTAATTATATCTAAATTTGATCAAAAAAAATTTAATCCTGGACAGTAATAAAGTTTGAAACTTTTAATGAGATTAAATGATTGATACATGTCATGTTAAAAATATATTTCTAAAAAGATAGAAATTCATTTAATAAATAATACTAGAATATATGACAAGTTAAAGATGAGTGAGATTTAGGTGATATGCATCTAGTCGCTTCACAAACCAAATTACATGGAAAAGAGAAGAAAATACAAAATTTGTGAAACATATGCATGCATTTGAATAAATGATATATGAATTATTATAAAAAATAAATATATAAATTTTGTAAAAGAAAAATCCCGACAAAAGGAAGTGGCGCGAAGACGTTTCACACTTGAACTCTATCAAAATAATTATTAGGGAAACTCAAAACGTGAGTTGCTACTTCTCTGTGTATCTATCTTTGCCTCTTCTTTTGGCTTTTTCAAGTCTCTATCTTCTACCATATTCCATATGTACAAGGGGCGATTGTCATAAAAATTTAAAATTATTATATTTTAAATTTTTATATATATTTTATTGAAAATTTATTTATACCCTCTTAAAATTTTATAAATTTAATTTTTCTCCCTGAATTTTTTAAATTTAAATTCATTCTCTTAAAATAAAATCCTCCATATGTCCCTGTACATTGATCCATGCTTATCCCTTTCACACTTCTCATATACCAGTGATTCCTTTGGGATTAATCATTAATCGTTACGTTTTATTAAGTTTTATATTAATCAGAGTTTAGATGAAAAAATAGCAATTCTACCTGATCTGATTTGGCTCAAGTTAATATGAATAAATTTGGCATGGCAGTCACTGGACTTTCCGGGAGGGAAAGTTTCGTATACTTCCGACATGAACTTCATCTCGGAATCTTCACAGACCAGAGTACCTTGCTATCGAGTTCTAGATGACGATGGAGAGTTAATTAAAGACACTGATTTTCAGCAGGTTTTTTTCTTTGTTTTTCCCTTGATGCTAACTTCTAATACTATCATTGAAACTAAAAATTATTGCAAAATTAAAAGGAAAAATATTGTGTAATTACAGGTAAGCAAGGAAGCAGCAGTAAAAATGTACAGTAAGATGGTGAATTTACAAATAATGGACACCATATTCTATGAAGCGCAAAGGCAAGGAAGAATATCCTTTTACCTCACCTCAGCCGGTGAAGAAGCAATTAACATAGCTTCCGCCGCTGCTCTCACTGAACAAGACATTATCTTGCCTCAGGTGAAACATTTTTCAAGTTCCAACACAATAAGAACAGTTTAAAATATGTATACTTCATTTGTTTGATTGAAATTAAAGCTTTGTTTAACTAATATAATGGCAGTACCGTGAACCCGGAGTTTTGCTATGGCGTGGTTTCACATTGCAAGAATTCGCCGACCAGTGCTTTGGAAACAAAGCTGATTATGGAAAAGGCCGGCAGATGCCGATTCATTATGGGTCCAAAAAGCACAATTTCTTCACCATCTCATCCCCTATTGCGTAAATACTTCTGCACCCCATCTTGAACTGTTACTCATTTCAATTATTCTGCACAAATTTTCATCAAATCTAGCTAATTTACCAACTTTTGGCCTTGATTTTCAGAACACAACTTCCCCAAGCTGCTGGCATAGCTTATTCTCTTAAAATGGATAACAAAAAAGCATGTGTTGTCTCATACATTGGAGACGGTGGCACCAGTGAAGTAAGCACGCTAACAATCTCGTACTTTATTTGCTTGTAGCAGTTTGCTCATGGTATCCATTTTTTTTTTTTTGCAGGGTGATTTTCATGCCGGTTTAAACTTTGCAGCAGTTATGGAAGCTCCGGTCATTTTTTTCTGTCGCAATAATGGGTGGGCGATCAGTACGAATGTATGGGAACAGTTTCGAAGTACGTTAGCTTTCCTCTTTATTATCTAAAACGGGAGCTCCCTCTGCGGTTTTCAGATTCGAAACTTGTTTCACCCACATTGCCTTCTGCAGGTGATGGAATTGTTGTCAAGGGTCGAGCGTATGGAATCAGAAGCATCAGGGTGGATGGAAATGATGCGCTTGCTGTTTACACCGCAGTTTCTGCAGCTCGTGAAATGGCTGTAAATGAACAGAGACCAATCCTTATTGAGGTGAGGGCAATCTCCATCTCAACTTTATCGTAGTAAATACCGGCGATGGAGAAGACCGGTGATGCAAAATAACAACCGTGACATCGTGTTTAAACTTTCGGTTATGCAAAATAAAAACCGTGACATCTTGTTTAAACTTTATATTTTACTTTCAGGCACTAACATACAGAGTAGGACACCATTCCACATCTGATGATTCGACCAAATATCGCCAGAGTGATGAAATTGTTTACTGGAAAAATGCCAGGAACCCTGTAAACAGATTTAGGAATTGGGTTCAAAGTAATGGCTGGTGGAGTGACCAACAAGAAACTCAGCTCCGAAGCAGTGTCAGGAAACAGGTGATCATTTCATTAATCGGTTTGGATATCCATAATTTGCATTTTTTTTCTGATACATAGGAAGAAATTTGGTGCAGTTATTGGAAGCAATTCAGGTGGCAGAGAAAACAGAGAAGCCTCCACTTTCAGAGATGTTCACTGATGTCTATGATTATCCACCACCAAACCTTGAGGAACAAGAGAAACATCTCAGGGAAACTATCAGCAGACATCCAGCTGATTATCCTTCTGATATTCCTGTCTAGATTTTTCTTCACCTTAAATAGGATTGTTTTCTCTATGTTTGAAAGATGAGGCTCTAATGTTTCAGTCTCGATTCTTAAAACTTGTGATATTTACATAAGAATTTCAATGATGTCGATAAAGCATTTTCCTGTTTAATGAATGTGCATTTGCCATTGATTCCAGCAAGAGTCCTCGAGACTTTTCATCTCAAAATGTGCTTTTATCGTCAGATTTGTGTGTGTGTCCAGCTGGATACCTAATTTTGATATGGACCGAGACTATGAGTGAGTTTGAATATCCGATTATTATATGGATTGAGGCTCTGTGTGAGTATGGATATCAAACTTTGATATGGATTGAAGCAATAAGATGGAGTATATTTACCCGAATTTTGATACGTATATGCAACTATCTGTCAACAACAACATCCATTGTATGAATAATTCATCTCATAACGTATTTAATCTAATTTGTTAATGAATTATTAAGCTTATGATTATAATCTTGTGATAATAATCTTATTTGTGTTTATGTGCATGTTAAGAGGTGATAAGTAGCTTTATGGTAAGAGTATCTAGGATGGAGCTAGAATTAAATATCAGCAAGTATAAGATATCAAGTTAAAAATTGCAAGGACTAAAGGTCTAATTTTATTTAAATTTAAATCGATAAGAACTTAAAATGCAATTAGACAAAAAATGGGAGGGGAAAATTTTAAGGAAAAAGAACTTTTATTTTTTTTATTTAATTAACTTTTATATTAAAAAATAAATCTATTTAATCTAAATTTCTGATATTTTATTGCGCTTTCTATTGGTAACAGTAACAGATTTCATGTATAGGTAAGCATTGAAGTTAAAATTACAGTTGGATTTCCCGTAAAGAATGTTATTATATAAGAGGTGATGACCTCTAATGCAGCATAGGTTGTGCTTGATAGGTAAATGTTTTTGCAACGAGAACCTCAACATTTTGGTATAGAAGTTTATATGCAACAAGTCTCTTCATTGGCATTTACTTGGTAAAGTAGTAAAAAAATAATTACATTATACGTATCATCTCATATTTCTTTCTATTCCTTTCATTAAAGTTGTCTTATCTGGTTTGGAATTGGGGATTTTCCACAGAAAATGTTATTGACTGTCACCAAAGATGTTCTAATGCAATTGGAACCCCTAAGGGCTTGAGTTTTCTTCATGAAGAATGCCGCTGAGGTCCTATATTCATAGGGATATGCGTCCGAGACATACTGCTCATACATTCATTTTGAAGACTGAACCTCCGGTGTATGCAGAGAATGGATTTGTTTCGGTGGGGTCTGATGAGTGATGTGTACGCATTTCGGATACTTCTGCTACAACTAATGTCAGGTCGCAAAGTAATAGGGCAAATTTTTACGGTAATGGTGTAGAAAAAAAATACTCAAATAATGATGAACTAAATTATTTGCTCGAATAATGTATTTGTTATAGGGATCTAATGTGACACAAAGACTTTGGTGCGTCTTTGATTATGTGATGGTTTTGAGATATTAGAGAAGAAAAGTCGAAGAAGAAAGGATTTGAGAAGTAGGAAAAGAGAGATTACAGAAAGAAGTCTATTCATTCATTTCATAAGCATTCCAATTCACAATACAGCCTATTTTATTTAGTTACAGGGCTAAATCAGTCATTTGCAAGGATGCCAGCTGGTTGTCCTTATAACAGATTATAACAACTAATAGATTCTCTTCTTGCAGGATATTGGACTGAACACGTGGGCTAATCCTTCTCCATTTGGGTTGACTGGGTTGTTGACTCCTCTTGGATCATATTCCGGCCTGCTTCACCATTTCCTGAACTGGTCATGCGCGGCTCCACTTCATCAGGTAACATCATTTGCCCCTCAATTGCCATAATACCTAATTCCCCATTTTCATTTTCCTCTCGCCCCTCAATCCCTAATTCCCCTTTTTCATTTCTCCTTCGCATCTCACTCCCTACTTCACCATCTTTCTCTTCGTTTCCACGCTCTTCTCTTCCAACTGTGACAATACCCGCCGCTGGAGAAGATCCTTGTCCACAAGGATCAAAACTCGGAAATTGGCCTCGAAGCACAGAATAATCCTCCCATGTGTCGTTCGTAGCATCCATGTTAGTCCAACGAACCAGTAACTGAGTTATCGGTTTGTTCTGTCTTTTAACTATTCGTCTGCCCAGAATTTGACTTGCTTCAATCTTGAACTGACCCTCTTCGTCCATTACAGGAGGATCTGTTGAAGACGATACAACTGCCCCAATATGTTTCTTCAATAAACTAACATGAAAAACCGGATGGAGACGTGAGGTCTCAGGTAAGTCCAGTTTATAAGCAACCTCTCCAATTCTCTGAATAATCTTATAAGGGCCATAAAATCTTGTCGCTAATTTTAAATTTTTGCGCAGGGCAAGAGAGGTCTGTCTGTAGGGCTGCAATTTCAGGCAAACCAAATCACCAACCTGAAAAATTCTCTCTGATATATGTTTATCTGCTTTTGCCTCATTCGATTACTTGCTTGTTCTAACTGAGACTTGACTAATTGCTTGATCTCTTCTATATTCTGCATTAAGTCTGATATGCTTTGCACTGGGCTGTTTGTATGTCATACCATAGTAGGAGGCTTGTAGCCATATAGGACTTCAAAAGGTGTTACTTAAGAGCAGTATGATAGGTAGTATAATACCACCATTCAGCATGAGGCAACCACTTTACCCACTGTTTTGGTGGGAAAAAACAGAGACCTCTTAGATACTGTTCTAAGCACTGGTTTACTCTTTCTGACTGTCCATCAGTTTCAGGATGGTAAGCAGTGCTAAATAGAGTCTTAGTGCCTAACTGCTTCATTAGCTCTCTCCAAAAGAGGCTAGTGAAAGTCTTGTCCCTGTCTGAAATGGCCATTTTAGGCTGACCATGCAACTTGTAAACACAATCTAGGTATACTTTGGCCACCTCTGCAGGAGTGTAAGGGTGTGCTAAAGCCAAAAAATGGCTATATTTAGTAAACTTGTCAACTACCACAAGAATACAATTCTTTCTCAAAGATGTAGGCAAACCCTCAATAAAGTCCATAGTAATTACTTCCCAAGCCTGTTGAGGAATAGGTAGAGGCTGTAAGAACCCTGGTTTAGGCACATGTTCCACTTTAGTCTGTTGACAAACTGCACATGCTCTTACATAAGTAACTACCATAGCTTTCAATCTAGACCAATAGAAGTAAGACCTAATCCTTTGATAGGTAGCTTGACTGCCAGAATGACCATCATATGGGGAATCATGTAGTGTTTGAAGTATTTGTAATCTAAGAGACCCAACAGCCCCAATATAAACTCTATCCTTAAATCTAAGGATACCTCCTGAATACTTCCACTGAAGATCAGCATTAGGAGTAATAGATAATACAGAAATCCATTGAGTAGCTATAGAATCATCCTTATAGCTCCTTTCCACTTCATGAACCCAACTAGGAATTATTAGTGTAGTGTTCATAGTAAAACAGTCACCCTGATCTTCCCACTGTCTGGATAAGGCATCAACAACAACATTTGATTTACCTTTCCTGTATTGAATAGTGTAATCCAACCCCAATAACTTGGTCAATCCTTTCTTTTGAATGGCAGTAGTTAGTTTCTGTTCTAATAGATATTTCAATGGCTCATGATCTGTTTTAATCACAAAGGATTTACTCTCTAAATAATGCCTCCACTTGGAAACCGCTAGAAGTATAGCAAGATACTCTCTTTTATAAATAGAGAGTGCTGCATGTCTACGACTTAGAACCTTACTTAAATAGGCAATAGGGCTGCCCTCTTGAGATAAAAATACCCCAATACCACCTTAACTGGCATTTGTTTCTAAATAAAAGCTCTTACCAAAATCTGGTAAGGCTAAAATAGGAGCAACACACATAGCCCTCTTCAATTCTTCAAAAATAGTCAAAGCTGCATCAGTCCACTAAAAATTATCTTTCTTAAGCATCTGAGTCAAAGGTTTGCTAATTGACCCATAATCTTTAATAAATCTTCTGTAATAGCCTGTTAATCCCAAAAATCCACGCAAAGACTTTAATGACTTAGGCACTGGCCAATTCCTCATAGCTTCCACCTTCTTAGGATCAGTAGAAACTTCAGCAGCTGAAATAAAATTTGCCCAAGTATTCAACCTGAGTCTGTCCAAAGAAGCATTTGGACAGCTTGGCAAATAGTTGATTTTGATGCAGTACTTCTAAAACCAGTTGTAAATGAGTAACATGATCATTCATAGAAGTACTATAGACTAAGATGTCATCAAAAAATACCAAGACAAATTTTCTAAGAAATGAACTAATCAATTCATTCATCAAAGCTTGAAATGTAGCATGGGCATTAGTAAGTCCAAAATGCATCACCTTAAATTCATAATGACCCTGATGAGTTATGAATGTTGTCTTGTATATGTCCTCAGATTTAATCCTTATTTGCCAATATCCAGATCTGAGATCAATCTTGGAAAAATAAACTACTCCATGTAGTTCATCTAATAGGTCTTCAACCACATGTATAGGAAATTTATCTTTTACAGTCATGCTATTTAATTTCCTGTAATCCACACAAAATCTCCAAGTACCATCATTCTTTTTGATAAGAAGGCATGGAGAAGCAAATAGACTCCTACTAGGCTGAATAATAGAGTCTGAAAGCATACTAGAAATATGCCTTTCCACTTCCTCTTTCTGATTGTGTGGAAATCTGTAAGGTCTCAGATTGATAGGAGTAGATTCATGCTTAAGAGGAATAGCATGGTCATGAGTCCTTGTAGGTGGTAAACCAGTAGGCTCTTCAAAAATAGATTGATACCTCTGTAAAAGAGGTTGAAGAGATGCTGGAACAGGTTTTAAATCTGCAGACATAGTCAACAAAACCACATGTCCCAAATAGGAGAATCTAATGCTGTCATTTTCAATAAAGTAGCTCCAGAAATTTGCTGCAAAAAATTAGATGGTTATTATCCTTGTATAATAATATTCTCCCCTTGATGTTGAAAACTCAGTGTCATTTGATTAAAATCCATCAAATAGGGCTAAATAATTTCATCCAATCTACCACCAACACCATATCACTACCATCTAACTTTAGGAGTCTTAAATCATGAACAAAAGAATGCCCTTCCATCTGTCACTCCACCTGAT